TGTCTTCCTTAAACAGGCCGGGCGTGCGCTTCTGCACACTCTGCTTATTAAGGGCAACGTTTAAATGCATACAGCGAATTCCTGATCTTTCATCGTCTTAAGTACGGGTGGAAACACATTTAAAACCAAAGCTTTGCATCCAGGGATGACAGGCCGGGGGAATAAGCGCCTTCGGTTCCCGAGACGAGTGTTTAGTGCTCGGGAGGGAGAAGGGGAGAGGGAGGAGGCGGGAAGAGGAGGCTGCGGGCAGCGCCCGCACCCCAAGGGCTGGAATAGGACGTTTTTTGGGGGGGCGCTGCTCGATGGCACAGTCCCGTGTCACCCCGACTTCCCTCTCCCTCGGGATTTGCCTGTGGAAGGAGGAGAGAAGGGTCCCCATCCGTCTGTCCATCCGTCGTCTCTTCCCTCCTCATACTCGGCTACTGGTTTCCAGTTGGCTTTACGGGGAGGGGGAGCCCGACAGCCCGGAAAGGCCTCTCAGTACAACATCTTAAATCCTGGGGCATCGAGACCTGGGGAAAGAGCCCCTTTGAGAGCACTAGACCCTATGGGTGGGTGGGAGACACTGAAGTTCTGGGGCTTGAAATAAAGGTGGGCGTGTAACAGGCTCCCTCGGTGCCCGCGATCCCACAGGAATTGCCCCCGAAGGGTGGGGGCACCCGGGCCCTCACAGTGGCATCACCCCCCAAGGCTTAAAGGGGTGTCAGGGTGGGAGGAACAGGCCTGAGAGGCCACCAGCTTGTGTGCTAGGCCAGGATTAGCTGAGGCCAGAGCGATCAGAAACATTGTCCAGCTCCAAACCTGGTTTCCAACTCTGTCTAGACTGGAAGGAAAAAGAGAGAGAGAGAGGACTGTGCTTTTAAAAACCTCGGTGGATAGCTTCTAGCTTCTCCCCCCTTATTTCCAGAGCGAACCAAAACATAATTTAGGAAAAGTTTGAGCCCCTCAGAGAGGTGACTAATCCCAGCGCTTCTGCAGGGCTTGTGAAATGGTTCAGACAGGTCTCCTGCTCAGCCCGGCCAGGCTTTTCCCGAAGATGCACATTATGGACCGAACTCTCAGATCCTGCCGCAGAGGCGCCCGATCAGACTCCAAGGAGTGACAGAGAAAGGGGATTTCTACCCCAGCCCCTTTCACCCCTCAGAGTGCGAGACTCGCCAGGCACAATTTCGTGCTCCGATATCACAGTTTGCGCCCTGCGGTATCGCTCCGACCTTGAGATTGAGGAGTTAAAAGTCAGGGGACACAACCTACAGCCTCCCCCGCTCTCCCGCTCTGCGACACCGTCTTCTCTCGGGGTTTAGTTTTTTCAATTTTTTTTTTTTTTAATTTTTTTCCAAGGTATTTGTTGCTTTAGAACAAAAATACACCATGGAACTTCTTCTGTCTTGACTGTCAGCATTTTTTTTCTTTCTTTCTTTCTTTCTTTTTTTTTTTTTTAACTGAAAATGAGTTAATGAAAGTAAGAGAGGCGAGAATAAATCGTGTTTAAAATCCGCGATTCTCTGCCCTCCGGTTATGGCAGACTGGTTAAATCGTCACCCTCTCCCTCCCCCGTGCCCGACATTATCCAAAACTGCTTTTTAAACTGGACATTTATGGTTGTTTAAACCGGGGAGAGAGAGAGAGAGATAATTAATATGTGACCCAAAAGATAATTTGCGCTATACAAAATAATCTGAATAAAACGACGGAGCGGTAGATTTTAGACCTTCCTTATTCCGATATGCAGACAATAGAAATTATTAGGAACATGCAGAGTCTTCTGTTCTCATTTAAACCATGAATGTATATTTTAAGAAAATCAAGGCGAATCGCAGCTGTTTCATCTGATTTTCATACCCACTCGGAAGAGGTTCGCTAATGAATTAAATAAATAAATAAAGCCCGAGGAGTGAGTAATCCCTTTCCGAAAGCGAGCGTCTATTGTACTAACCGCTAATAGTGACATTAAAGGTCTTACTAAAACAAAAGTGCTTTTTTTAGGGCTTTCCCCGGAGCTGCGAGGCCGTTCCCGGGCGGAGAGAGCCGGCGGCCCTGCGGGGACGGGCGATGGGGTCGCTCCGGCCTCTCCCTCCCGGCGGGGAGGGAAGGAGGGAGGACAGGAGGGAGGACAGGAGGGAGGGCAGGAGAGAGGGCGGGGGTCACTGCCGTGGGAGCTGCGGGTCCGCCCGGGACGTCGCTGTCTGTGGTAACCCCGCTTTGGAGCCTGTTATGGCGATCTAGTGGTTTTGGCTCGGTGGGAAGAGCCGGGTTTGGGATTGTCCGGGAGTCCCGGAGAGCAGTTTTGTTGTGCTTGTTTTCTTTTTCTTCCCTTTT